CTGCTGGCATCTGTAAAGACTGTAAGACCTTCTAGGGGGTGTTTGCTGAGTAAGGAACATGATTCCAAATTCAAAGTGATTTTGAACAGTGGATGTGACAGAAAGTGACAGGATAAAGTCACAGAAAGACCTGTTACTGCAAGGGCAGATGTTTCATTTGTGCAAATTGCTGTTGCAGTCTGATCCTGTTGTAATGGGACAACAATTTCATTGGGATGCTTTCCAGACATTTGCAAACAGCGATCTACAGCTTTTTGTATACAGAGTGCTATTGCTTCTACAGGGGTAACAATTGTTTTAGATAATGATGCAGGAAGAAAAACCCATTCTAGGATCCATAAAGGATTTTTTTGCGTCATGTCCCATTGACAAAGTATTCCTGCAACTTCTGTGTTTGTGTTATAGACGATAAGTTGAGCAGGTTTCTCTTGAAGCAATCACCCTGAAAAAGCACATGCCAGTTTCTGCTCAATTGTCTGTAGGGCCTGTTTTCCAGCATCTGATAATGGTCGAGTTTCTGTCAATTGATTACCAGTTCTGAGCATATCCAGTAAAGGTTTTAAGTCTGTGTTTTTTATGCCACAAATGGGTCTGACCCACTGCAGATCTCCTACTAATTTCTGCACATCATTCACATTGTGAATGCTGCCATGAATCTGAAGCTTCTAAGGTCGAACAGTGGAGAGAGTAACTTGCAGTTCCAAATATTTCCACGGTGCTGTGATCTGTATTTTTTTCTGAAGCTATCACAAGTCCATATGGCTGGAGTACAGCCTGGAATGCTCTCAACATTTCCTGTTGTGCTAATTGTTTTGCACAGATTAACAGATCATCCATGTAATGATAGATCGGATGATCAGGAAATTGTTTCTGCAAGGGTTGTAAAGCAAGGTCCTCATACCATTGGCACATGGTAGGAGAATTTTTCATACCTTGAGGGAGAACTACCCAATGATACCTTTGTGTTGGACGAGCACTATTTTTTGCTGGCACAGAAAAAGAAGATTTTTCACAGTCCATAGGGTGTAAGGGAATAGTGAAAAAACAATCTTTGAGATCAATTTCCATCAGTTCCCAGTTGTTAAGTAACATGTTTGGGGATGGAATCCCAGGCTGTAATGCTCTCATATCTTGCATTACAGCATTTACAGCTCGTAAATCTTGTAATAGTCTCCATTTACCTGATTTCTT